TCCTTCGGTCTCTTTGTGCTGTGGGTGAGTCCCACGTAAGCAACCATCCTCTGTGCCCAAATTTAATGTCAAAACAGTTGCAGGATACATCTCCTCTTCCTGCAACTTGCCTTAAGTATGTGCAAAGTCTGTTTCTGTGTCATTATCAGATTGGACACACATATTTCACAGAGGAGATGAAAGTGTTCCTTATGCTTTAACATCTGCCCTCTGTTGGTTTGCGACCCATCAGAACCTCAAAGACATTGCCCGAGGAAAGCGATTATCACCTCTCTGTACGCACTTTGACTCGTCATGTGATCACACGCTTGTGTATGCACATGTGTTCAAGCGTGTGTGTTTATAGGGTGAAAAGGGTGTGAGTGTGTAGTTGCCAAAATGTGCATGCAAAGACATATGGCCTAAAAGGCATGCAAAATCTCCAGAGACAAGTGACATGATCTTAATGTTTCAGGTCAAAAGTGTCAAACACAGCTTATCTTGCCACTTCACTTTAAACTTGTTGCCCTCAAGATGTTGAAGAAGACGCCGTTTCTCTGCCGTCAGTCTCTGTATTGGTGTCAAGTTGAAACAAACAGCATGATGGATCAGGTGAAGCATGCAAACTGGCTCCCTCTTGTGTGTAAAAACACTATAGCAAGAGGAATTGGAAGATTAACAACTCCTCTTTTAAAATGATTAGAAGTGGAATTTCAAATTCTTTTAAACAATGAACAATTTTTCAGAAGAAATGTAATTCCAGCTACATTTGTAATGACAAAACTTTATTGACAGCCAATGCAGCCCAAGGATTTTTCTTCATATCTATTCATATTGTCTAAGAAAGGATTTTGAAAAAGACCTGGAGGGTGAAATTTAAATGTAATCTGACTGATTGCTGTACAGTGATCAACACCTCAGAAGAGTCCTTACGATAGGAGCTTTTTATTATACATAATGAGCTGAAAACACACTTTTCTTTCTATGTGATGTTCAAATATCCCGGTGAATATCCCGGTGAATAATGAAACCATACTGAAACCCCCTCCTTGAACCGCCACCTTAACGTGGTGGAGGGGTTTGAGTGTTCAAATGATCCTAGAGGCTATGTTGTCTGGGGCTTAAATGCCCCTGGTAGGGTCTCCCATGGCAAACAGGCTCTAGGTGATGGGTCAGACAAAGAGCGGTTCAAGAATCCTTCATGAGGACAAGTATATCAAGGCACGTGACGTCGCCCGGTACGGCCGAGCTGGGGTCCCACCCTGGAGCCAGGCCTGGGGTCGGGACTCGTCGGAGAGCGCCTGGTGGCCGGGTTGCTCCTCGCGGGACCCGGCCGGGCCAAGCCCGAACGAGAGATGCGAGGCCATCCCCCAGTGGGCCCACCACCTGCAGGGGGAACCGTGAGGGACCGGTGCAAAGAGGATTGGGTGGCGGACGAAGGTGGAGACCTCAGCGGCCCGATCCCCGAATGCTTAGGCTAGCTCTAGGGACGTGGAATGTTACCTCGCTGGGGGGGAAGGAGTCTGAGCTTGTGCGGGAGGTCGAGAGATATCGACTAGAAATAGTCGGGCTCGCCTCCACGCACAGCGTGGGCTCTGGAACCCATCTCCTTGAGAGGGGCTGGAGTCTCTTCTACTCTGGAGTGGCCCACGGGGAGAGGCGGCGGGCTGGGGGGGGTTTGCTTGTTGCCCCCCAGCTCAGCCGTCTTGTGTTGGGGTTTACCCCGGTGGATGAGAGGGTCCCATCCCTGCGCCTTCGGGTCGGGGATAGGTCTCTGACTGTCGTTTCGGCCTACGGGCCAGACGGTAGTGCGGAGTACCGGCCTTCTTGGTGTCCCTGTCGGGGGTGCTGGATAGTGCCCCCCCGGGGACTCCATTATTCTGCTGGGGGACTTCAACGCCCACGTGGGAAACGACAGTGACACCTGGAGAGGCGTGATCGGGAGGAATGGCCTCCCCAATCTGAATCCGAGTGGTGTTTTGTTTTTGGACTTCTGTGCTAGTCACGGATTGTCCATAATGAACACCATGTTCAAGCATAAGGGTGTCCATCAGTGCACTTGGCACCAGGACACCCTAGGCAGGAGGTCAATGATCGACTTTGTTGTCGTATCATCAGACCTTCGGCCGCATGTTTTGGACACTCGGGTGAAGAGAGGGGCTGAGCTGTCCACTGATCACCACCTGGTGGTGAGTTGGATCCGCTGGAGGAGGAGAAAGCCGGACAGACTTGGCAGGCCCAAGCGCATAGTGAGGGTCTGCTGGGAACGCCTGGCGGTGCCCTCGGCCAGGGATGTATTCAACTCCCACCTCCGGGAGAGCTTTGACCAGATTCCGGGGGATGTTGGAGACATAGAGTCCGAGTGGACCATGTTCTCCGCATCTATTGTCGATACTGCTGCCCGTAGCTGCGGCCGTAAGGTCTCCGGTGCTTGTCGCGGCGGCAATCCCAGAACCCGGTGGTGGACAACGGCAGTAAGGGATGCTGTCAAGCTGAAGAAGGAGTCCTATCGCCTGTGGTTGGCTTGTGGGACTCCTGAGGCGGCTGACGGGTACCGTGAGGCCAAGCGTGCTGCGGCCCGAGCTTTGGGAGAGGCAAAAACTCGGGCCTGGGAGGAGTTCGGTGAGGCCATGGAGAAGGACTACCGGTCTGCCTCGAAGCGATTCTGGCAAACCATCTGGCGCCTTAGGAGGGGGAAGCAGTGCTTCGCCAACACTGTTTATAGTGGGGGTGGGAGGCTGCTGACCTCGACTGGGGACATTATCGGGCGGTGGAAGGAGTACTTCAAGGATCTCCTCAATCCTGCCATCACGCATTCCCTGGTGGAAATAGAGGCTGGGGACTCGGGGTTGGACTCTTTCATCAACCAGGCTGAAGTCACCGAGGTGGTTAAAAAGCTCCGCGGTGGCAAGGCTTCGGGGGTGGATGAGATCCGCCCTGAGTACCTCAAATCTCTGGATGTTGTGGGGCTGTCATGGTTGACACGCCTCTTCAACATTGCATGGCGGTCGGGGACAGCGCCTCTGGACTGGCAGACCGGGGTGGTGGTCCCCCTTCATAAGAAGGGTGACCGGAGGGTGTGTTCCAACTACAGGGGGATCACACTCCTCAGCCTCCCTGGTAAGGCCTACGCCAGGGTATTGGAGAGGAGAGTCCGGCCGATAGTCGAACCTCGGCTTCAGGAGGAGCAGTGTGGTTTTCGTCCCGGCCGTGGAACACTGGACCAGCTCTATACCCTCTACAGGGTACTCGAGGGCTCATGGGAGTTTGCCCAACCGGTTCACATGTGTTTTGTGGACCTGGGAAGGCATTCGACTGTGTCCCTCGTGATGCCTTGGGGGGGGCTCCAGGAGTATGGAATCAGGGGCCCTTTATTAGGGGCCATTCGGTCCCTGTACGAGCGGAGCAGGAGTTTGGGTCCGCATTGCCGGCACTAAGTCGGATCTGTTCCCCGTGCATGTTGGACTCCGGCAGGGCTGCCCTTTGTCACCGGTCCTGTTCATAACTTTTTTTTGGACAGGATTTCTAGACGCAGCCAAGGGCCGGAGGGGGTCTGGTTTGGGACCAGTGGATTCTTTCTCTTCTTTTTGCAGGTGACGTGGTCCTGCTGGCCCCCTCTAGCCAAGACCTACAGCATGCGCCGGGGTGGTTCGCAGCCGAGTGTGAAGCGGCTGGGATGAAGATCAGTTCCTCAAGTCAGAGGCCCGGGGGTACTCAACCGAAAAGGGTGGCTTGTCCTCTTCAGGTTGGGGGGGAGTTCCTGCCTCAAGTGGAGGAGTTCAAGTATCTCGGGGTCTTGTTCACGAGTGAGGGAAGAATGGAGCGGAGATCGACAGACGGATCGGTGCGGCTGCCGCAGTAATGGGGGCGCTTTGCCGGTCCGTTGTGGTGAGAGAGAGCTGAGCCGAAAAGCGAAGCTCTCAATTTACCGGTCGGTCCTACGTTCCTACCCTCACCTATGGCCATGAACTTTGGGTCATGACCGAAAGAACGAGATCCCGGATACAAGCGGCTGAAATGAGCTTCCTCCGTAGGGTGCCGGGCACTCCCTTAGAGATAGGGTGAGGAGCTCAGCCATTCGGGAGGGGCTCGGAGTAGAGCCGCTGCTCCTCCACATCGAGAGGAGCCAGTTGAGGTGGCTCGGGCATCTATACCGGATGCCTCCTGGACGCCTTCCTCGGGAGGTGTTCCAGGCACGTCCCACCGGGAGGAGGCCCAGGGGACGACCCAGGATACGCTGGAGGGACTATGTCTCTCGGCTGGCCTGGGAACGCCTTGGGCTCCCCCCGGAGGAGCTGGAGGAGGTGTCTGGGGAGAGGGACGTCTGGGCGTCTCTGCTGAGTCTGCTGCCCCCGTGACCCGGTTCCGGATAAGCGGAAGACGACGAGTACGAGTACGAGTACGAGTACTGAAACAGCTACAACTGAGTCATCACCCCATTTAAGCTTAAGCCTTTTTGGGCTGGTAAAAGAAAAGCCTAGCAGGATTTTTTTTATATTATTTTTGCCCAGGAGCAAACCCAGACCTTGCTGCATTGATTATCTAAGGCAGTGTTCATGTAACTAATCAATGCATTTTTAAACACTGCCAAGAACAATCCAAGTTAGATGATTCAAGTATATAGTGGCAGTTACAGTTAAAATTCCAGGTCTTTGAGACTTAAAAAAGGAGACAATAATAGATATTTTCAAAACTTGTTCCTCCTTTAATGCGATATACAGTTCAATTGAAAACAAAAACACATCCAGTTTATAGGAGAAAATGTAAATTAAAAATTTAAAAGGTGCGACAACCTGGTTGTATAAGAGTGAACATCCTTACACTGACACCTTTTGATTCAATAAAAACCTTCAGTCTTCTTTGTTGAGGGTCTATCAGCATCCCACATCTTGACTTGGTAATATTTGCCTACTCTGCCTTGCAAAAGCTTTTGGACAAAATCTGTCCAAACATCTGGATAGGTTATTAAACTTTTTTTTCTTTTCATGGTTTAATTCTTTTATTTGAATGTATATTGGGGCTGCATGGTGGCACAGTTGGTAGTACTGGTGCCTTGCAACTAGACGGTCCTGGGTTCAACTCCCGGCCTGGGGTCTTTCTGCATGAAGTTTTCATGTTCTCTGCGTAGGTTCTCTCCGGGTACTACGGCTTCCTCCCACAGTCCAAAAACATGACTGTTAGGTTAATTGGTCTGGCGACCTGTCCAGGGTGTACCCCGCCTCTCGCCCGTAGACCGCTGGAGACACCAGCTCCCCTGTGACCCTGTATGGAAGAAGCGGGTATAGAAAATGGATGGATAGATGCATACTTGGAATCGCTGTGATCAAATGAAAATAAAATACCTCTTCATCTTTGGCTTTTCAGCAGACACCTGAAAGTTTTGGGTCAAAACTGACTGGTGATCTTTATATCATTCAACCACCTTGACAAAAACCTTTTCCTCCATCTGAGGAAAAGTAACCACAGACCATGATGCTGCCACTACCATCTTTCACTGTAGAACCCAGCACCTTCTTGTTCTTTGCCAATAGTGTTACCATTGGCAATACCGTCCACCCCATAAAGCAAATCAATTGAAACCAAATTTAAAATATGACTGATTGATCAACTAGCCGTTTATATGAAATGCAATATCCTTTAAAGTAGTTAACAGGCAATTTACTCTAACAAGAATGCATAATACCCCAGAGTGGATAAACTCCTGGATACTGCACCCATGAATTTCTGATTGGCTGATTTTTCTCTTGATTCAAAACGTCTCCTGGATCCACAGCATTCTATAGACACCTAAAAGGTGTCCACTGGTTTAACCCTACCGGATTAATGTAATTGGTTCATGCTGTTGCAGTGGTAGGTTGTTGAAAGAAGGACCACATTGCGGCCCTATAGAGGAACCATAGTGCAATAAGGGGTACTGACACACTGTATTTCCAGCACGTTCAAAACCCCATGACATACCTTTTTGAGTCTGCGCGATTTAATGTAATGACTGAGGTAAGGCTACATTTTTTTAATTGACTCACCGCTTTTACGTATCTGAGCCACAACAGAAGGTCACAGAGTGGCTTTGCAAGTAGGTGTGATAAAGACAGCATGAGCACTCATCTATAGTCAATGGTGCTGCTGTCATGCACTGATTTCACGATGCTGGTTTTGATACGTAAGGACACATCGTCACAGTAAGTGTCTGGTTTGGTTGGATCATTTATAAAGTATGGAGGCAGCTTGATTAGTGCCTCATTATTATAACAAGACCCTTTTTGTGAGAAACCTTTATGTTAATGTCATGCAAATAATCAAACGTATGCTTATGGTCATTGAATACTTGGAAAGCCATGTGTCAAAGCTTTAATTTCCTGGCTGATATCATGAGATGTTGCTTCAATATTTTTCCATTATATTTTTCAGGTGAGGACGACTCAGGGTACAGTCCACAAAGTGGACACAGGACTTTGTGGACTGCTGCCAGCGGAACCACCTCTTGTTTAACATGGGGAAACCAAGGAGCTGATGGTGGATTACCTATTTTAATTGGGGACCCATGGAGGAGCAGCTTACCTACAGCTGAGAGGAAGCAGCCAGATAAGTTTATCAAAAAGGTCAGCAGACTTCAAGAATGCCGCCTCAGCACAGTGCAAGTGGTGGGAGACAGAAGGACATCACTGTTGAACAATGTCTCCCAACCCATGCATAATACTGTTGCAGAATGGTAGAGCTCCTTCTGTGAGAGACTGATACATCCCAGGTACAAAAAGGAGCTTTATCACAGATCCTTCCTCCCTGCAGCTGTAAGACTTTAGTACCACCACTGCTGCCATCAGACTCAAGTGTTTACATCCCTGCTGTTATTTGCACAGTTTTTACATTTCTTGTAAGCAATTGTAGTTGTTTTTTATGTTCAAATACACATGAACATTTTGTAAACATTTTTTTTTTAAATCCCCCTACCCAGTAGTACATTTATTTAAATCTGGGTATGCTATTTTAATACCTGTACAGTATTTTTTCTTATGTTGTAAATTATCATTGACTGTGTAGTCTATTGTGCTTTTATATTTGTTTTACCTTGTTGTGTAACTGCATGCTACCATTTGCCTTTCACTTTGCTGCTGGTACATATGAATTTCCCCACTGTGGGACAATAAAGGATATTTCTATTCTAGTCCTTGAATACATTCGAAATTATAATCTGTATTTTTTTGTTGCTATTGGAGTTCTTCTTCCCCGAGGTGGGTAAAATAGTCAAAATTTCTACTCAATAAGAGTAGCACTACTTCAATATATTTTGGCTCAAATAGAAGTAAAAAGTAGTCCAAAAATTACTCAAGTTAGAGTAAAAAGGATTTCGGTGAAAAGGCTGCTTAAGTGCTGAGTGCAAGAGTAGTACTGTTTAATCTGGTTTAATTAGTGAAAATGATGTAATTATACAGACAATATATAAAATTATGTGCAGATTTTGGTACTGTGAATAATTAAAATAAAAAATTTGCTAAACGAAATCACAACGTTACAAAATTATAAATTTGGGCAGAAGAAACATTTCCAATATCTACTGTTTGCTGTATATTAATTTGACCTCATCAGATAGAAAATAACATTAGAACAATGAAGCTTGTTTACAGTAAATGTAATTAATTACTTCCCATGTCTGCTTCTTCCTATCTGAGTGGACTTTCAGCACATATTGTTCTAGGACTCCTTTCACAGTGAATAAATACATACTTCTGGACTTAGCCAGCATCTTCACATCTTTTGCTTTTGTTCTGGGGCGGACACACGTTATCCCCAAGACACTTTTTTTGCGGACACAGAACTCATTTCCTTCCTGGACAATATGATGGACATGCTGTTTACTCTTGAAATTTAATTGTACAGATGAACATGGCACTTTCAAAAATCTAGAAGTTGTAGGATGAGCCAGACTTTCGGCGATCCATAACTGTCTTCCCATCTTGCCGGAATTTGATTTCTCTATGATTTCACACAGGAATTAGTGTGTTAGAGGTGTTGCCTTAAAGTACATCCACAGGTGTGCCTTCATTTAACTCAAACGTTTTGAATGAAGCTGTCATTAGCTCATAATTGCATAATAACTCATCATTTAGTCTTTATCCGGATTGTTTACAAGCATTGCAATGTTATTGTACCAGACGTCTGAATTTAAAGAAAGTTTCTATAGACTTCCTTAAACAGGAAAAGTTTAACCTGATTTCAGACAGTTAGGTGAAAAGGTATTTTTATACAAAATTTGTAAATATCTGTCTACAACTGTAACAACTGTACAAATCTACAGGGGTTGGACAATGAAACTGAAACACCTGGTTTTAGACCACAATAATTTATTAGTATGGTGTAAGGCCTCCTTTTGTGGCCAATACAGCGTCAATTCTTCTTGGGAATGATATATACAAGTCCTGCACAGTGGTCAGAGGGATTTTAAGCCATTTCTTCTGGCAGGATATGGCCAGGTCACTATGTGATAATGGTGGAGGGAAACGTTTTCCTGACTCGCTCCTCCAAAAAACACCCCAAAGTGGCTCATAATAGTTAGATTGCGTGACTTTGCAGGCCATGGGAGATGTTCAAAACTGATCAGCTTGCATGTTCACAAAACCATATTTTCACCAGTCGGCTGTGTGTTATTGGTGCATTGTCAATCATGATACAAGGCACCGACCGTCACGGATACAATGTTTGAACCATTGGATGCACATGTCTCAAGAATGGTTCGGTAGTCCCTTGGACAGTGACGCGCCCAATCCTGAGCACAAGTATTGGGCCAAGGGAATACCATGATAGGCAGCCCAAACCATCTACTGATCCACTCCCATGCTTCAATCTGGGCAGTGGCAAAACAGTCTGGGTGGTCCGCTTCCTTGGGGGTTCTAAACACCGTAACTGTTCTCCGGATTTGGGAAAACAGTAAAGGTGGAATCATCAGAGAACAAATAACATGTTTCCACATTGTCCACAGCACAAGATTGCGCTCCTTAGCACCAATGAAACGCACGTGTGGCAGGGCATGAGTGACCAAAGGTTTTGGCTATGGCCTAGCTCCGGCCGGTATATTGATCCCTGTGGAGCCTAACCCGACGGCACAAGTTCTGGTGGAGGAAACAGGAGAGTTGAGGTGACATTTAATTCTGCCGTGATTTGGGCAGCCGTGGTTTTATGTTTGTTTGGATACAATCTAGGTTAGCACCCTAAACATCCCTGTTCAAGACAGCTCTCCTTTGCGTCCCCACACCCCTACAGTTAACTCCTGTTGGGATGTGGTTCGTCCTCTTGGTGGTATGCCGAATTACCCCGGATACCGTCGTGCTCTTGATCATCACAAAGACTTGCTGGCTTGGTCACAGATGCGACAGCAAGACGTGCACCAACAATTTGTCCTCTTTTGAACTCTGGTATGTCACCCATAATGTTGTGTGCATTTCAATATTTTGCGCAAAACTGTGCTGTTACCCTGCTAATTGAACCTTCACACTCTGCTCTTACTGGTGCAACGTGCAATCAATGAAGACTGGCTACCAGGCTGGTCCAATTTAGCCATGAAACCTCCCACACTAAAATGACAGGTGTTTCAGTTTCATTGTCTAACCCCTGTACATACTCAGCAATATCTTACTTTTTTCTTAATTTTCCCATTATATTATTGATCAGTAGGTATTTTGCTGATTCTTTTATACACACATGCTGACAGAATTTAAAAATGTGGTTTAGCATACTTGGTTGATAGCAGTTTGATAGCCGAAAGAGTCGGCTCCTGTTCGCGAACTAATCCAAATGATTTGAATGCTAGAAAAGAACCGTGAATCCCAGCTCCTACGGAACTGACAAGTAGTGACCGCGAGTAACCTCTGTTACGTTGCCGCTTCCCCAAACACGCGCCACCTCCAAAGCGCCAATCACTGTCGGAGAAACAGTGTGACGTGAAACTAAGGCTTCCGGGCTGGTAGCGGTGGCTCGGTATTTCACAGATTTTCCTTTTTTTATAACCATTTTAAGACACGATTGCTGCTTTTATTTATTGTCGAAAATTATTATTATTATGTAAATATTCTTAACGGAGCTTTCTTAACGACGATAACCATAACGGAGAGG